GTACAGGGTCGGAAAGGGACGGAGGTGATGCGAAAAATTGGACAGTCCAAACGTGTGCTATAAAAATTCTTGCTTTCAGTATGACTGTTTTTTTTTTCAGTTGAGTAGAAAAGGGAAAAAAGGGGCTGTATCGGGTGCATGTTTTCATATACAAATAAATAAATTGATAAATAAATAAATGGCTTGTGCAAGTTGCATTTCCATTTTTAGTAGATAATATATATTTGTTCTTGGGACCGGTTATTTATCTAAGCTGGATTTCTCTGTAGGTATTTAAAGTCCCGTTTTATCCAACTAAAAGTGCACGCATTCCACATTAATAGGCAGGAGATCTTAATGTGGTCAACCACTTTTTTTCAATCTCACATGTACAAAGTTGGGCTCCCAAAGCAGGATAATTGTGATATTCAAACGGTTGTTAACGTTCACATTACATTGTAGCTTCATCATTAAATGAGAATAAATGGTGCATGTGTTGAAATGTACAATAATAAAAAAAGTCGAATATCCTGTTCGTTTACGAAGCAATTTTGTCTATAGCTACGTATCTTTTTTTCATTTCTTTTTTTTAATATATCCTGTATTTTATTTAATTTATCTATTCGTTTCAGTCACTAATATATGCATGTCAGCGTGTTTAACTTTGTTACTTCTTTCTGTGTACAAGGCGCGTTTTGAACATGTGTTCACATAAGACTAGAAATTGAAATTCAAAGCATTTATCAATTTCACATGCAAATTTGCGACCAACCTCTTGCTTTATAGAACACCTCCCCTTTCCACCCGCTTTTCGCATGCAGAGAAATGAATACCATAAAGTTGTTTTGAAAAGAAGCATATTAAATCGCTGGTATTTCCTGCTGTTATATCTCGACTATGATTAATTATTTTTATTGTTTTTTATGACTTATGTGTTTTATTCCATTTATCTTTTCATGTTAGTAAATAATTAATTTCTCTCATCGCTCTTGCCTTTGTTGCTACTCTCTCCGTACACTTCGCGTTTTAAACATTTATTCACATCACATTAGATATTGAAATTCAAAACATATATTTGTATCCATTATTTTCTTATTCCTAAATGCAAAATCACTGTCCACCTCTCAATTCAAAGAGATCCCTTCCTTTCCATCTGCTTCTCGCATGAAGAGAAATAAAGGGACCGTTCACATGGAAAGTCTATTTTCTAAAAATCTATTTTCTATTCGCGGTATCTTGTGATCACAGTCTGTGATCACAGTCTTTGCCCTGAATACCCCGCGACGTAATTACTGAAAGCGCGAGCCAGTTACTTTCTGCGCTGCCAGTAATTACGCCGCGGGATATTCAGAGCACAGACCGTGATCAAAAGATACCGCGAATAGAAAATAGAAATTTAGAAAATAGACTTCCCATGTGAACGGTCCCAAATTCCCTAAACGGTCGATTCGAAAGAAAACGTATATTGATTTCCTGGGCTTTCCCGCTGTTATTTCTCGTTTGTGCTGAAAGTTACACACGGGCGTTTAAATACAAAGAGGTATCTTTAAGGTTGGATTTTCAGTTTCAACTCTTTAGTTTCTATTTATCTTGCTAGAAAACTTGAGTTCCACGTAAAGAATCAGAATGAAGTCAGAATGCGGTCAATCACATTCTGTACCAACCATCAACAAGTTTTGGCTCAGGAGGAGGGGCACTTCACCATCTGGTTATGTGTAATGCCACGGTGCACTGTATAGCAGTGGCAAGCTGTAGCTAAGATTGAAATTTCAATATTACAGAAGAAACATTAAACGAATGTCATTGTAAAAATCGAAACAAATAATGAAATGCTGTGTTTTTATTTTATTTTTTGATGATCTTTAATAGGCAAATCCTAGGATTAAAGGAGGTGTAATGTGTAATTCACCACAATCCTAGTTTTCATGACTGTTTTTATACAACCTGAAAATAAGCTTAATTGTTAGAGGTGGTTATATATGATATAGAACTTGCAGTGGATGGTCATCTCAGAAAAATCATTACTTGAACCATATATGAAGAAAGCTGGAACTTTTGTTTTCATCAGAAATATAGTTGTAAAGTAATATTGTTTGCTTGCTACCAATCTGGAAACAAAAGTGGATTTGGTCAAAATTGTGAAAATTGAACAGTTAAATATATGATCAAATGTGAGGGGGGATGTCAGCTCATACTTTTGCAGGCACGTAGCCAGCAATTTCAAAAGGGGGGATGTATTTTTTTCTGCATAAAGTGGACCTTTTACCATGAAACCTCTGTGTACCTAAATGTTAATTTTCCCAGAGGGGACCTTTTCCCACGCACCCTCCCCGGCTACAGGCCTACTTGGTTATACTCAACTTTATCAAAATAAACGCGATTCAGGGCCTCTGGGGCCGTGAGTTTTGACAGCACCACTTGCAGAGTAAAGACGATTTGAAGGTCAGTAATGTAAGGTATCTCGCCTACATACTGTAAGGTATATCGTTATCTGTACAAAGACGACATCATTTTGCGCTTTGAAAAGGTCATTTAATGATAAACGCGATTGATATGAACGCATAAACTCTCGAACAGTACGACGTACATAAAAACCAAAGTGAATATTTTCATATATCCCGAAATTTCATATTGACGCATTTTTTCCTTATGTGTCCTCTGTCGTTTACAGCAACTCTTAAATGCTGTGTTACTACGCGCGTTGATGATTTCATACAAAACTAAGCAATTTGGAGGATTTTACAAAATGGGTGGATGGAGAAGTAGGTCTGTTATTTATGATGTAAATTATCCAGAATGGTCTGTCGTTATTCAGGGTAAACTCACTGTTTCGCCCTCACTTTTTCTCTTTCTTTCTCTCTCACTGATGCCAAAACCTATTAACACAAAGAAAGACAAAAGTGTAAACTCGGTAAATATAGATATGATAATATTATCAGTGTCGTTGAATTTTGTACCCTGCACGATGACTGATACATTCAAACAATGGTGTTTTGGCTCACACCCAGCGACCTTAGCCCCACAAAACAGCTGTAATTGTTAATTTATTGTAATGATAATTTAATGATAATTTTGACAACTACAGCTCAATATCATTGTTTTTTTTTTTTTTTTTTTTTTTTTTTTTTTTTTTTTTTTGCATTGACTCGATTTTCGAATAAGCTGGCCACGGATGTGAAACAGATACGAATTAAAATATTATTTCAAATCATTATCAGTAAATTTACTGGTTAGCAGTCTATTTTGACTCAAACAAGCGGAGTTCAAGTTTGCATTGAACTCACATCTTCCCACTAAACACAAGTGAATGCCACCATAATGTCTCGGACAGTTTGATTAAAATAAAAACACAAATGCTTTATTTCATATAGCCTGGAATTAGATATTTGAATGTATATTTATTTTATTAATGTGCCTCGGTCGTTTTCGGCCATACATTTAGATACTGTGTTATTGAGCTCGTAAATTTTAATATACAAAACCACACAATTTGGATGACTTTTCAATATAAGTGGATGTATAAGTTGGTCTGTTATATATATGTTACTTATGTTGTTGATTATCCACGGTTAACTGTCATTATTTAGATTCACTATCCTCTCTCTAGACCTCTGCATATCATTCTCTCTCTCTCTCTATCTATCTCTCTCTCTCTCTCTCTCTCTCTCTCTCTCTCTCTGATTCCGAAATCCAATAAGCACTCAAAGTAAGTTTAATGCATATTTGATAAATGTTAATTAAATAACATAATCAGTGTCGTAGCAGTTTGTACACTGCACGATGACTGATAAATTAATACAATGATGTGTTCCCTGGCCATTAAATAAAAACAAACACTCAGATTAAAGCTAAGTGCATACTTGATAAATGTTAATAGGATCACATAATCAGTGTCGTTGATTTTGTACCATGCACGACGACTGATACATTCACACAATGATGTGTTGGCTCATTCCCAGCGACCTTAACCACAGAAAACAGCCGAGAGATCTGTATTTGTTAATTGTTGGCTTAACAATTGACTTAAATACTATTTATGCAATAAGGTATCTGCAACACAAGTTCATTTATCCATAAAATTTGATTTTCATGGGTGAAATTACTATCATTCACTTTAATTACAACTGATTAGTCACCCGAAACTAATACGGAGGTGCAATTGATGTACAGGTAACAGTTATGCTCTTAAAATATTTAGTGCACAGATTGTACTAGGGTACCACATGAAGAAGTTTGTATAAAAGTTTTCCTCACCTGCAACCAAGAATAATAAAAATGAATTCATCGTCTAACCCCCAAAAAGAATGTACGTTACTGTCACAAATGCAAATCGTCCAACGCACACGGGGGGGGGGGGGGGGG